ACAAATTTTCGCCCACGTTTTCGGGGTACGGATCAACCGATTTGGATGGTTTAAAAACATTCGATTCCTATTGATAAAGAGATGTGCTGATTAGTTTTTGGTAAGGTAGGTCCAGCAGTTACGGAGATAAGGAGCAAAGAGTGCAGAAAATAGAAATCGAGTTTTTGAGAGAAATCAGTATGCGATTTGAATGATCTAAAAAACATTTAATTAGTAATGATTGGGAGAAGGGGTTATTAGTTTTTCGCAAAGGCAGGCTCAGCCATTCCGAAGATACGGAACTGAATATATAAAAAATGGCAGGTTTTAAGAGATTTAAGCGTCCGATTCAAATGATTCAAAGAACTTTCTGCTGTCTTAACAAAATAATTGATTTTGGAAATAAAAAATTGTTTCAAATTTTTTTTTTCAAGAAATTTTTTTTTTGTATATCGAAAATAATTCAGATTTTATTTTTAATTCTGACTATAGTTCTAATATACTTTAAACAAATAATTTCAACTTTGCAATTCAGTTTAATTCTTATAAATATTAGACAATGTTACAATATTTATAATAATATATTTGAAAACATTCAGTATTCCTCGAACATTACGGTACGGAAAGTTCCAGCAATTTGCCTTAAGGCACGATGCGATACACGCCACTAGTTTTCGTTTTATTTTAATTTATAATATAACTTCATTATAAATGATAAAAAAGACATTTTAGTCAACTTTTTAACTAAGTCAATTTTAATTACCTGTCTTTAATAACCTGATTATTCTTAAACGATTTCTTTTAAAAGTAAATTCAAAAGAATTTAGATTTAGTTTATGAAGTTTTTGAAGATTGAGTTCATGGTTTAAAAATGATGGAAATAAGTGAAAAAATCTAAAATATCCAATTTCTTCAGATATATTTTAATAAAAAAACTTGCTTCTGTCGTGAATAATTTAAAATCAACTTAAATCATGACTGTAGAACATATTAATTTTTTAATTAAGAATAAACAAATTTTTAATAAGATTTAACGAATGGATATAAATATGTAGAGATGTATGTATAAAAAAATAAGTATAACTTCATCAAATTTTTATATAATATTATCTAGAGAATTATTTATGAAATACCTACAATAAAAAAAAATTATATATATATATAAAAAAAATTGAAGCCCATCCAAATAAAATAGTTGCACAACTGCTTAAGATACCAAATTCCAGGAGGCTCAAGCATAAATCACCAATGGATAATATCCTAATCTAGTAAATTGTTTAATGGAACAATTTCTATATTTTTATAGTAAATCATCAAAATATGTTAGTTAATTTAATGTTTTTTCTGTATATTATTTTATTATTTACTATTATTATATATTATTATTATTATTAGTTACTATTCTTATGTTATTATCTATATTTACTCTTATTTAGTTTATTCTTTTTAGTTTATATACATAAGCAAAGCAGCTCATAGAATGTAATTACAGTTCTGATTGCTGTCTAATGATAAATGAATGAAAAAAAATAAAAAATAAATATATATATAAAATTTAAAAAAAGTGTTTTTAATTTACAAATCGATGTCTAAAAGAGCACATATAGCATTTAAAAAAAATATACCAAAAAAATATTTTTTAAATTAATTAAATATTTGCATAATTATGCAACATTCTGTCGCTCATATTTATTTGCATTTATAAAAAATGATTACTCAATATTATTTTACTCATTGTTTTGCTGCAGAAATTTGGAGCATATGTACATTTGAATATGTAATTCATTTCTATCAGACGTTTTTTTTACAAACTTTAAAATCAGAATATATTCAAAAAACGTAAAGATGAAATTTTTAATATTAATATTCACAATTTTAGTAATATTTCAAATGTTTTTGCTAACGAAAAGTGAAAAATGCACAGAATCTGGTGGAGTATTATTAGATGGTAAATAATGAATTTTTATTAAAATAATTTTTTTCTTTATTGAGTTCAATAATATTCAAATATAAAATACGTCCATAGATATGCAGAATTTTTTGTATAAGCGTGTTTATTATTAATTTTTTTACCAACGTATTTTAATTTAATTAAAATTGAAGTAAAAATATATTTATCATTTCTTTTATTCGTTAATTTTTTTGGCAGCATATGAATTTAAAAATGGATGTGAAGACGGTAATGATGCTAATTGCAGAAGAAAATGCAATTCCGATTGTAATGGTAAAACTGGTATGTGTGGTAAACCAAGTCTTCCAACAAGTGATCCAAAAACTTGTTATTGTACGAATCGGTGATCGAAAAATCCTAAATTTTAATATAAAAATTGATATTTGAAATGATAAATCTTTATTATGTTTTTTCACCATTGAAACTACTTTATTTAATCTAGAAAATAAAACCACAACTTATCACATATGTTAACTTTATCAAAATTGTAATTGGTAAATAAAACTATACAAATAAAAACACTTTCATTATTGATTTGATTTTAATAATATAAAAAAAATTAAAAAAAACAACTGTTAAACTTTTAAAATATAAATTATTAGTTACACGACTTGTTATAAAAAATTCAAGTTAGATTCATACAAATTTTGTATTTTCTCATTTTCAGAATATAGAGTATATAAACAAATAATTCAAAAAATAGAGTACTCTCTTAAAGATAGAATATTAAATTGTATGAAGTTGAGAGAATTTTTTATAATTATGAAGCAAACACTATATTTTTGTGCTATCCATTTTATAGATTTTTTTCCTGAATTTATATAAAAAGAAATTATTACTATTAATTATGATATGCAACACAATAACAAATAGTTGTATCAGGATGAGTCAAACCATTATTTCCACAAAGTCCATAATTAAATTTACAATCTGTGCAAAATTTTTGGCATGATAATTTCGGTGGAAATACTGGACAATAATTTTTAATTTCATATGCATTCAAATTATTTTGTTTAGTAACAAATTCATAAATATTATTTGAACCTAAAAATGAACAAAATTATCAGTTTATAATAAAAATTATATATGTATATATATAAAAAAAATATTTGAATTATCATTTTATTTACTTGTTAAAGATCCTCCACTTTTGCAATATTCACTGACCATAATTGTTTTTGCTAAAATAATTTTAAAATAAATTGTATATAAGAAAAATGCAACACAAAATTTCATAATAAATTCCAAAAAACTAATAATATACTGAATATAATTATAATTTATTATAATATAAATAATAAAAGTTGATACAAATTAAAATTTGACGTAGACTATTTAAGTTATTGCAATGAGTATTATTTATTTTTAATACGAATTACAAATTTTTTTTGTGCACAAACAAAAATAATATGTTGTAATAATATGTGCTAAAAATTGTTTATATTAATATAATAATAACGTATTATAAAAAAGAAACCGAATAAAAATACTGTCAACATTTGTTGTTCTTAAAATTTTAAAAATTTTAAATTTGTAATATTATTTAGTATAAAATTAATGCATTTTATATTCATAGCTTGGTAGATTTTTTTCAGAGCAAAACATAAGTTCTGTTTTATGTAAGATTGATCATAAAAAATATGGCAATGTTGCAATAAATTAAATGAATTAATATATTAAAATTTTGGAAAACTGGAAGCTAAAATATATCCATAATAATATATATTATTAAATTCATTTTTTTATTTTTTAAGTTTTTTACGTAACAAAAAAAAAACATGTTTGATATTGATGATGATTCTACATAATTCTTTCAATCAAAACAATAACAACTCTCTTTATTTTTTCTTACAGGTTTATCATTTCCATAACCACAACTTCCAGTATAAGTTTTACAAGTATCTTTACAAAATTGTTCACATTTTTTTATTAATTGAAATCTTGCAGTATTTGCAGGAACTATACATTGATTTTGAAATTCTATCTCGCCTAAAAATAATTTAATTAGAGATAACAAATATTTAAATAATTGACCATAATTCTAGTCAAATTATTAAAATTAGCTTGCATTTAACTTGTTTTTAATATTTATATATATAAGAAATAAGTTTATTTTTTGACTTACCTTTATTATTTGTTTTGCATGTACTAGTTTGCACATTACCAAAAACATATATTATTTGGCTTGTAAAAAATATTAAAAGAATCATATATAAATTCATTCTTAGGGCACAAAATTTCATTGGAAAAAATATTTAAGCATTAATAAACAAATAATTTGAAATCAATAATACTATTTATTTATATTGTTTACTATTTACTATTTATATTGTTTATTGTTTATTTTTATCAAGCAACAAATATTGCGAAAAAACTTGGAACGCATTTTTCAATTTCAAAAGTTCTACCTTGAGAAATATAAATTGTGCAACTTGCCAATAGAAAAAATCGAAGTCAAAAAATACATAGAACTAAAAAAAAATAAAAATATCCCATTGTTGAACAAAAACCTTATATTGTAGAAGTTTCTAAATGTAAGATTTTCATATAAAACTGAATAGTCAACAAAAATTGGATAAATTACTAAATAAGTACCTAAATAGTTATTGAAATATTTTATTTGCATAATTTTATTGCCAATCAAAATAAAATATGTAGAAATTTTTTTAATAATATAATTATATTTGTTCGGATATAATTTTATATATATTAATACTAGCCATGAAGACAACTATCTCTTCATACATTCAGCTTTTGTACCGTAAGATTGCTACTCCGATTGCTACAGTTTAAAATGTATCTAATTTTATGAAAAATGTTATTGAGTTTTTTCTAGGTATTAAATAATAATAAAATAATATTACAAAAATATGTTTTGAATAAATTTAATTTTTTTCATATTTATTTAGGCATTTTACAATGACAATCATTTTTATCACAAGAACCGCATTCTGTAATACAATGTTCTTTACATTCGTTATTTTTTTTGCAAAAATCTTTCACGATAATTTCCGTAGGATTTCGATCCTTATTTCTGCCTATTTTAAAAAATAAAAATAAATATAAATATTTAATTTTATTTAGGCATTTTACAATGACAATCATTTTTTTCACAAGAACCACCTTTCAAGTCGCATTCTGTAATACAATGTTCCTTACATTTTTTATTTTTTGTGCAAAAATCTTTTACAATAATTCCACCTGAAGGATTTCTGTCTTTAGTTTTGCCTAAATTATTAAAATATAAAAAGAAATATAAATATTTGATTTTATAAAAAATATATTATAATATTATTCTTACTTCCACTTCCTTTGGTACAATATTGACTGTACAATTTTGTACCAGAACTTTGGACATTACAAAATTCCAAAATTATTAATAAAAATATTAAAACAATTAACTTCATGGCTGGAAAAATTTATAATGAATATTTGTGACCTAAATTTATATATGAATGCAATTTTTATATATTCATATAAATATTTATAACGCATTTTAAGAAAACAACAAGTTGTGTAACTCGATTTCGATAACATACATTTTTTCTTAAAATGTTGCCATATCTATAAACAAACTAGGTGTGAGTGGCAATTTGCTTTAAGGCAAGGCACATGAACAACCAAATATGTGTAAATAATCAACATAAGAAATGATCTATAAAAAATGAATCTCGAAGTTTTAGGTACACAAATAAAAAATGTAAAATTCGTTTAAAAATGAAGAAAGTCACACTTTGAGAATTTAAGTTCATTTTTGTTAAATAATTGTATTTATTATAATGTATATTTACTAAATTTGGTATGAAGTATTAAAATGTAGTATTTGACATAGTAACATAGCCTAAACAATTTTTTGAAATTTATTTAAATATTTTTTTTGAATAATAAAAAATATATTTGATTTTGTTTCACAATATGACGAATCATGTGCAACTTGCCAATAGGAAAATTTCAAATTTGGCATGTGATATATCGATAAATAGAGCATTTAAGTATATTTTAAATATTGTATTTGTTTTATATACATTTTTGTACCAGAAATATTAAAAATATTGAACAAAAACCGTAAATTGTAAAGTAAATTCGATGAAAAAAAATAAACTATGTTCTATTCAAAGCGTTTTATTTTATTGTATTCATTTATATATTATTTATATAAAATTTTGAACAATTTTTAATCATAACAATAACAATTTTTTGGTTCACGAACAGAAACTCCATTAAATCCACACATTCCTTTTTTAGTTTTGCAATATTTTTGGCAATTTTCTATGCAATTATCATTGTCATAATGTTGTGAAGTACACAATGCTGTTAAATATGTTTCTTTTGCTAGTAAATATTATAAAAATAATTAATTTTTAATAATTTTATCATTATAATATATTAAGCTTTACCATTTGTATTTTTTACACATAGTCCAGAACTTAAAACATTTTCTATTAAAATAAATGCTACTAAAACTAAAAATGCCAATTTCATTTTTGCAAATTTATTAATAAATTGTTAATAATTATGAATAATTAATAGATTTTTTATATAAAAATTATAGTTTGAAATGTTTCTTCTTGAGATGAAAAAACTAGTATAAATATTTATTTATTTTATACTCAATTTATATTTCGTTATTTCTTTCTTTATTTTTTATTACGAAATATATATATATATATATATATATATATTGATATATATATGTATATATATATAAATGATACTACGTATGTTATTTAGCAATATTTCAAAAAAATATTTACCTAACAATATCATTATTTTAATATAAGTTTTAACACTCCTGATTAATTTTAGTTCAATTTCATTTATTTATTTTATTTTAACTCGATTTCAGTTATTGAATAAAATCTGGTTCAGGAAGCTTTTGAACAGCCATTTTGAGCATTTTCATTATTTTTCTTTATTATTATGAAAAATGCAGTTGATATAGTAATACATGGCTTAGACAAAACCGACGTTTTATTTAAATATATTAGACAGTTATAATTAATTTCAACTTATTGAAATCATTTTAATTTTTAATATTTTATATAACAAAATTTTATAAATTGTATTTTTTTTTATAAATAAAATGTATATAATAATAATTTAATTAATTTTCCATATTTGATAATCGAATTCATTAGTACAATAACAATCACCATGAAGACATTCTCCTTTTGGCCAACCTCCACAATCGTCATAACAATCTTCTAAACAATATTTTTCACAAATTGTATTGTTTTTTCCAAAAACTGTACAAAATTTCTCTAACATGACATAGGTTTTACTTTGGATTTTGGATCATATTCTATAAAAAAAAATATCAAAAAATGAAAAAACAAACAACCAGTACAAATATTCTCTAACACTTGACTATTTAATTCTTTTAATATTTCTCTAATTTACAATTTGTAATATGTTTTACAAAAAGAGTCTAATAAAATAAAATTAAAATAAAAAAAATGTTTTTTTAATAAAATCTGAATTCAAATTATTTATTTTATTATTTTTACTTTATATTTATTAAATTATTTATATCTTACTATCACATTCTGCCTGCCATTTAATTTCATTAGAACTAATAGTAACTCTATTTGCATTTATTGAAATTATTGCAAAAATGATTAAAAACAATATTTTAAACATTATTAATAAATATTAAAAATAGTTTTTTTTTAATTTAGAGTATTTGAATTCCAATTGTATAAAAAATTATACCTTATATTTAACTTGTTTTTTCTTGTTGTCTCGGTTTATATTTTTTCCTAAAAATTTCCAAATTAAAAACAAATATTACGACATAAATATAAACAAAAAAATATTTGGACCAAATTTTATGTTCTCATATAAAGTAAACAATACTAAAAATTATTTCCACCTAATTTGTTATTATTTTGGCAAAAAACTAAAGTGTTATAATTTTTAAAAATGAATAAAATTTTATTATTATTTTTACTGTGTGTGATTTCTTTAAAAGCAGAAAATAACAAGTGTATACATTTACCCAAAATTTGTCGAAATTACCAAAAAATACGTACGAAAATTTTATTATTAAAATAATAATAATGAATCATTATTTTATTAAATATAAATATTTTATTTTAGCCAATGTGCCGATAATTGATGATGAAATTGCAGTTCCTGGAGTTTGTGAAGAAGACAATGATGATTTTGATAAAATTTGTGATGATCATTGCCAAAATAATTGTAAATTAGATTTTGGTTTTTGTAATACTTATGGAAATGATTCTACAGTTTATTGTTATTGTCAATTTTTTTTCGGAGGTAAACTAACACCCAATAAAAAATAATATTTTTATTTTAGTAAATAAAGTAAAATTTTGTAAGAAAAATAAATATTATTTCTAAAATTTCTGTTGCTTATAAAACTTTATAATAATAATTAGTCTATTTGTATTGCCATTATTGTTTATGTTATTTTAAGTTATATTTTATTGCATCCTTGTTTAATATGATTTTTGTTTGGATTTTTGTGATAGATAGAAAAATGAATACTATAAAAACAAAAATTATTAATAATGTGTAATAATTAATTAATTAATAATGTAATATTAATGTGTAATTTTTTTTATTTTATTTTTTGTAAATGTGGGACAAAATAGTAGAAGTACAATAAGTCGTTAAATGCATTCCTGGAATACTCTTAAATTTATTTAACTCAATAAAAAAATGATTTTCTTAAGAAAGTATTAAAAATAATAGTTCATATAAAAATCTTACCTTAGAAAACATTCTGTTTAAAATCATCACAAATAAAAATGTATAAATCAAAAATTAAAATTTAAATATACATTTAAATAAACAAATAATATATACTTATCAATAAAATTCAGTAAATATAAATAAATAATAATCTATAAATTTATATATCAATAATAAATCAAATAATATATGTATAATTGAAGAATTAAAATCGTTCATAAAAAATTACACAACATTTTTTAATCTCAAATTGCAGCAAAAAAATCTATTGCTAAATAAATAATTAAGAAATCCTAATCACGAATTTTATTACAAAAAAAATATTTCTTTATTATTTTCATCACAATTTAAATAAAAAATTGCTTTTTTAAATAAATATTAGCAATCAGAAAAAATAAATGAAAACTTTTTCATATTTATATATAAATGTGCAGATTATTATTAATTAAAAATTTAATTAAATTCATTTTGTATTATTTTTATTAGATTTTTAACAATTCATTTTTATAAAAATGAAGCTTGTTTTTGTAACAATTTTAATAATTGTCTTAGTACAATTTATTGGATGTGTTAAAGTTTCGAAATATTGTAAAACTTATACAAAAGAAGGGAGTAAGTTGTATAAATATTATAAATTATTTATATATATTTATATTATTTAAATTATAACTATAGTTAATTAAAGTTTTTTAAGATAAAGTTAAAAAAATTACTTTTAAAAGGAAGATCTCCAAAGATCCAAGGTTAGATTTTAGTTTAGAGTAAATTAGTGCTAGAAAGTTTTTTAATGAAAAGTACAATTTTACTATCGTGTGCTTTAGCATTCAACTCTCTGTAAAAGGTAAATTATTAAAACCAATTTCTTGAAATCGATTTTCAAATCCAAAAAATTTTAAATGTAAAAATAATTTTGTTCTACTTTATGCAGTTTGTTTTTTAAATTGAATATATAAATCCAAACCAGTTTCTTTAAAATTCCAGAAATTTTTTGCACTTTGATTTATAAATTAAATGTTTCTCTGAAGGATCCTGGGATGAAAAAACAGAAGAAGTAACTAGTCCATTACAGTTGCCAAATAGTGGAGAAAGATTATGCCCAGATTATGATAGAAATTATTCTAAATGCAGACGTTTTTGTCTAAACACTTGTCAAGCTTCAGGAAGTTATTGTTCCCCAATTGGAGGTGGTACTTATCCAGCAATGAGATCTTGTCATTGCACATATAATTAATAATAAATAAAAATAAATAATTATTATGAGGAAGTAATGAGACATTTCAGGAACGCCATGTCTGGAAACTCAAGCAAAAGATTTCTACCAATTAATCGACTTATTTGTTGTTAATATATTATTTAAAACATAATGTCAAAAATTGTTGACAATTGTTGATTGTTTATAAATATTGTTGTAATTATATATCATCTAATATGTAATATATATTTATTTTTTCTATAAACAAAAAATTGAAGATATTCAATTTTAATATGATTTCATATAATTATAGTTATGTATTAGATAGGGCAGCTTTTGGCTTGTTAAACAGTTCTTTTTCGAATTAATATATCTTAAGATTGACTTACTATATTTCTACAAAATAAATATGGATAGTTGCTGTAACTATTCCATTATCGAATCAAATAAAAATAATTCCAGAACTATTTTTCGTTTTTCCACAATTTATCATTTTTTAGAAAAAG